AAGCTGTAGACTGCAAAGATGGAGCTGAGAGGATCTCCATTGCAGGGAAGGAACCCGAGAATGGAAGGGATGGCCTGAGGGCATCACAGGAGGAGGCAGGTCTCCACCCTTTGCTGCCTCAGAGCTGCAAAGGTCAGGGACTTTGCCTTGAAGGGAAGGCTGCTGAGCCCCATGTTCCAGAATGGCTGCAGCGGCGGCCACACCAGGTTCCAGAATGGCGCTGGCATGGAGAAATTATTTCTCCAAATCAGGGTCAGAGTACTCAGCCATACAGGCACTCGACCCCTATGGCCAAGAGAGAGAAAAGTCTGGCTACTGCTCCAGCTGGCAGCAGACCTTGGCGTCATCCACGTGGCAATGGTTTTAGGCGCTTACAGAATGCAGGAGTTCTGAGGTTAAGAAGGTTTCCACCTCGATTTCAGAAGAAGGCCTGGGACACCAGGCGGTGTGCTCCTGAGAGGGCAGTGTGTGAAGCTGTGAGTGAGAAGCCTACTCCAAGGAAACCCCAGAAGTTTGGAAAAGCCAGGAATGTGGATCGGCTAAGGGAAACTGCAAGGAGGAAGCAAAGCCAGCCTAAGAGAGAAGTCATGAGAGCTACCACCACGAGTGCCACAGAGGCGGAGCCTCTTGTAGTTCACAGCTCCTCACAGATTGCTTGGGATGTTCCACATGGAACTGCAGGACTTAATGCTTGCCCTGCTGGATTTTGGACTTGTGTTGGTTCCAATGCTTGGTATCCTGCTGTGTGTACCTTTTGGAATGGTAGTGTTTATCTTGTGCCTTTGAATGTTGCAAGTGTTTAAGTTTTCTTTTGTACAGGGGCTCACAGTTGAGAGTTTGCCTTGGATCTTGGGACTTGGACTTTTCAGCAATGCTGAAACTTTTGGGACTTTGGCAATATAGAGATGGACTAGAATGTCTTTTGCATAAAGGGATGTGCATGAGTCTCTGGGAGTCCAGGGGTGGAATGTTATGGCTTGTGTATAGGTTTCCCCCCCAAAGCCTCAAGCAGTCTTGGGGCAGCTTCTGGAGTTTGTGATTGATCACTGTGGGTGTGGATGCTGCCTGCCCTGGGGCAGGTAATTTGCCTTACAATGTAAGGAGGGAAGAGAAGCTAGCTGCTTGAGCTGTTGCTACCCCTCCCTTGTGCTCTTGCTCTTTGCCACCACCATGAAAGGTTGCTTTCTGCTCTGTGCTGCTCTGCATTGGACCCAGCTGAGTATGGACTGAAACCTCCAGTAACTGTGAGCTAAATAAACCTTTCCTTCCTTAAAAAAAAAAAAAGAAATATAATTTGATGTAGTCCTGTTTGTTGATTCTTAGTATTATTTCCTATGATATTGCAGTCCTATTCAGAAAGTTTTGCCTGTGTATGGTTTCAGGCATTTCTTCTCTATTTTCTTTTAGTGGTTTCAAAGTTTCAGATCTTATATCTAGATCTTTGATCCATTTCGAATTGATTTTTGAAAGGGTGAGAGGTAGAAATCTAGTTTTAATCTTCTACAAATATATAACCATTTTTTTCCAGCACCATTTGTTAAAGAGATTGTCTTTTTTCTTAATATATACTTTTATTTTCTTTGTCCAGAAACAGGTGACTGTAGTTTGGTTGATTTTTTTCTGTGCCCTCTGTTCTGTTCTGCCAAATTACATGTCTAGGTTTTGTGTCAGTACTATGACATTTTTGTTAGTATTGTCTGATATAGTATAATTTGAAATAGGGTATTGTAATGCTCCCAGCCTCTTTCTGTTTAACATTACCTTGGGGTTAGTAGGGTTTTTTGTTTGTTTTTTTTAAAATTCTGTGAAGAATGCCATTTGTGTTTTGATGGGGATGTACTGGATCCATAGATCTTCTTTGGCAACATGGCCATTTTTATTTTATTTATTTATTTGTTTTATTTATATACTTATTTTTTGGTATCTGGGAATGAACTCAAGACCTTGTTCTTGCCAGGCAGGTCCTTAAGACACTGAGCTATCCTCCCTGCCCTGGCCATTTTTATACTATGAATTCTGCTGATACACGAACACAGGAAGTCTTTCCATTCTTTAGTGTCTTTTTCTAATGTCTTTCATCATTGTAGAGATAATTCACTTCCTTGGTTATACTGATCCTTAGATATTTTTTAAAGTTATTGTGAATGGAATCATTTTTCTCATTTCTTTCTCGGTCAATTATTCATATATAGAAAAGCTATTCTTTTTTTGACGTTGATTTTTTTTTTTTTTTCCTTGCAGTAGTAGGGATCAAACTCAGGACCTTGTGCTTACCAGGCAGGCACTTACAGTGTTGCCAATCTACACCTTGATGTTGATTTTATATCCTGCAACTTGGTTGAATTCAAGTATCACATCTAAGGGACATTTGGTGGCATCTTTACGGTCTTTTAA